TGTCTGTCTCTAAGTGTAGCCCTGTGATAGACTGGTTACCTGTCCAGGTGAACCTGCCTTCACCCTGAGTCAGCTGGGATAGACTCCGCCCCCGAGTGAGGGTTCAGGTGTAGAGATGATGGATGGCTGTTTCGAAATCACTTGGTGTATCTGTGACTTTAAAAGCTGAATCAACTCCACTGTGTTTCTTTAGTGGTCTCTACACCGACAGCATTCTGCAGGTCTTCATTTAAGTTCTATAATTTTAGTGAATTTCGTTCTGATGTTTGTCTATAAAAAGTATTTTTAAACAGATTTCTGTCACGTGGTAAAACTACATGTCTGTTTTTAGCTTTAAGCTTCAGATTCAGGACCTGGACCACCACCACGCTGAGGTTCTGCTCACCTCCGGTTCATAGCGGATCACCAGCTGGTACTCCATTGATGATGGGAGGTTGTCCACAGTGAATCTAAGCCCCGCCCCCTCCAACAGCCTGACCAATCCCAGGCCAGTCCAGGTTACAGGTTGATCAGCTGACCTCTGGCGGGGGATGATCTGCAGGGCGTGGCCCGGCTCCAGAGGGATGCTGTTCTCCTACAGGACCAATCACACGTCAGCAAGACTCACAGGAGGACCATCTGATTGGCCGGAGGGTGATGCCAGCATCTCCCATTGGTCAAATCTAAGTCCAACAGGAATCCCACCTGTCCTTGTCGCCGCCGGCGGGCGAGTCGCCGAGTCCTACGAACCAAGACGACTCGTCCGTTAGAGATCTTAAAGTCGAAGCCTTGCTCTCTGTAGTACTTCTCACAGGAAGGCAGTACCGGATTCAGCTGAGAATACACACATATACTGCATATAAGTACACATTGATACTGTGAGTACACGCACTAATACGTACTGTGTATTTATACACAGTATTACTGTGTATAAATACACATTGATACTGCGACTGGAAAAGAGCCCTCGTTCAGGTTTCTGAGGGTTCAGGTCATGGGTGCCCCCTGCTGGTCTGTCAACACCCATCCGTGGTGAGGAAGGCCCAGCAGCGCCTGCACATCCTGGGAGCGCTCAGATTGAACAGCTGGAGGAGAAGCAGCTTGTGGCCTCCTACCGTACTGCAGCTCAGCATGGTCCACCGGCTGCTCTGCAGAGGCTGACCGACCAACAGGACTTGGCTAGCTCTCGCTATCAGCAGCGCTAGTAGCATCATTGAGGACTCGTCCCACTCTGGACACCACATGTTTGACCTGTTGCCCTCTGGCAGGCGCTGCCGTCACTCAAAGCACCATCAAACAGACTCAGGGATAGTTTCTTTTTGAGAGTTGTCACCGTACAGAACCCAGAACCACTACTGATCCACAAAAATGTGACGACTAAGAAAATATGTGCAATAAACCTCATCAGTGCTAAATATCAGTGCAATAACTTTTATCAATGTGCAATTTCATATTCCTTAAAGAACAACTGCACCTCCTGACGTTCATCGTGTTCTCTACATATATATATATATATATACATATATGTATGTATATTTGGGTGTTTTGTGAGCTCCACCTGCTGCCTTCCCTTCACCATTTTCTTACCGTGTCTATTATTATTTGTAAACTCTGTTTTGTACCTTTAGACTGATCAGGTTCACCACCTGGAGCAGCACTCCGAGTGTCACTGTGTACAGCACAGCAGCAATACAAGCATTCTGGTTCTGGGTACCCTCAGATGCCATCACTGTGTCACTCTTACACACCAGAGAAGAAGAAGAAGGCGGTGAAGCTCCTGGAAGTGGTGCGGCAAGCTCCGCCTCATACAGGAAGTAGTTCAATGAAGGCAGGAAGTAGCCAGGGGCAGGGTCAGAACACCGTCGACCAATCATGTTGGGTAAACAGGGACACTGTCCGTCCTCTGGAGAACACCTGAGGAAACAGAAGGTCAGTTTACCCATAATGCACTGCACTGTGTTTCACAGGCGTCATGAACACTGGATATTTAAAAGGCAGAATAAATCTTACATGGTTCCTTGAGCTCCGCCGATATCACAGTTGCAGGGTGAGCATCGGTACACAGAGTTTCCTAAACCCCAGAAACCTTCCTGAACACAAACACAGACAGGAGCAACATTAAAACATTAATGTCTTCCTGCCAACCAGTTTCTGATCACAGCGCCATCATGTGATCAGATCAACATTCAGCATAAAGCGCTATAAGTGTAGACGCTGCATGCATTTCCCAGGTGTACTAATGTACTAGAGCGCCACCCAGTGTCTGGTTTATGCCACAGCTGCTCTAAATCAACAGCGTTGGCAATGACCAGCATCATGTTTTATGTTTCTGTAACAGTTAATACACCAGGATGTAGAAGATCTTTAAACAAAATTGTTATACATGAATTTTTAAATTTACTGTTTTTACAAAAAAAGCATTGAAGTACATTTTTATTATTATTATTATTATTATGTCTTGGTTATTCAGACGTCAGATTCCAGGTGTTACTTGCATCCTGAACATAACCATGAGTTTTAGTGGCTGAATGTTCTGCTGGATCCATGTCTGGCTCCTCAGAGAAGCCCAGCGGCTCAGATCTGGGTAGAAGGAGATGAATTCAGTTTAAATTCCTCATTTCTGTTCAAAATGGTAAAATGTGGAGAGCTGAGTGGCATCAAAGCTCTTCATGATGCTGGATGGTCTCTGAGACAAACAGGGAGAGACAGAAAGTGTTCTCACAGTGTGGTCAGGTAAGATCTGGAGTTAGTTAATGGTTCGTTTGGTAATGGTTTAATGGTTTATTTAATGGTTCATTCCATCGTTCTGGAATGCGCCGCTAGGTGGCAGCAACTTGTAACAGCTCCCTTTGCTCTTGATTTTTTTTTGATATATTGTTGTCTTTTTACTGACATTACCTGTCAGATTAGGTTTTTCTTATATGATTTTTTATGCTGAGTTGAAATCTCTGCAACTCAGGAGATTTTTNTCAGCAGCTCCTGATGATGAAGGCATTGATGCTATGGACCGGCCGGCCCGTTCCCCACACCTGAATCCAGCTGAGCACATCTGGGACATCGTGTCTCGTTGCACCACAGACTGTCCAGGAGTGGATGATGCTTTAATCCAGGTGTGGGAGAGAACCCTCAGGAGAACATCCTGCTTCATCAGGAGCAGGTCCAGATGTTGTAGGGAGGTCCTACAGGCAGGTGGAAGCCACACACTACTGAGCCTCATTCTGACGGGTCTGGAGGAGTTTCCACTGAAGTTTGATCAGTCCGTCATGTGATTTTACACTTTTATTGAGTATGATTCCAAATCTAGACCTCTATGGCATAATAATTTAGATTCACATTGATCATTTTTGTGATATTTTGTTCTCAACGCATTTCACTATGTCATGAATAAAGATTTTCAGCTGGAATATTTCATTCATTGAGCTCTAGGATGTGTTATTTTAGTGTCCCTTTATTTTTTGAGCTGTGTATAAGGATGTGAAATAAAAGCTGTTGTGAATGTAAACGTGAGTGTGATCTTTTTCAACAATGGAGTGCTAGTGGTGAAATATAAACGCTGGCAATGAACTCAGAATCATGAACAAACCCTGATTTGACTCCTCATAAGTTACTTAAGGATCGATTTTTAAAAATCGATTTTTCATCAATCGGTTATCGGTACCCTAACCTGAGCAGGTTTTTTTCAGGGTTTCCCACGGGAGTTGAACTTCAACATTTTAAGGCATGTTATTACACCTTTACAAACATTTTGGTGAAGAAATTGTTTGGTAACGGTTTAGTTACTACAGGGCGGCTGTTGGTGGCCTCCTCTCTGAGGACGTGCATGGAGGAGCCTGGACTGTCTTTATCTTTGAACAGTGTTCCTGTGGAGATAAACTCCACTCCAGTAGCAACCGACATTATTCTTCACACACAACGCAGAGATTATCAAGCCCAGAGCAGTGCAGGACAGGCGGGCTACACGACCCGAACCCTCCATGTACTGGACTGTCCTTGGGCAAGACACTGAACCCAGCTGGTGCTTTAATGTGCACAGATGTCCTTAAACCTGCAGTATTTATCAGATGGGGAGCCAGCAGGCAGAGACGTGATGCCAGTGTGACCCGTCTGTCTGTCCAGCAACATTTCAACCTCCAGCTGGATGTACAATACCAACGCTAATGTGTGATAACCCCGAACGAACGTGTCCTTTGTTTAATGGACTGAAGTACTTACGAACAGCTCCTTTGTGGATTCGTGCCGACAGGCTCTTGATCAGTTCCTCACAGACTTCTGGTAGTGACTCCTGAGAGCTGGGGTCAGCAGCCAATCCAGTACAATGAAAGCGGCGGAAAGAGTCGAGGTCACTCTGGGAGCAGAAGTCTTGGACCGACTCAACTCTGGGAATCAATCCCATCTGAAAAATAACACCAGTGAAGGATGTGTAGATTCTCAGTCATTCAGCTTGTGGTGCTTCTGGGAGCCTCAGTGAGAACTGGACTGGACCAGAGGAACAGTAGCGGTGAAAGTCTGGAAGATATTGACTGAGGCTCATAGAAGCACGAGTAAGTGTGTGAATCCTGTACATTCAACAAAGCGTCTAAAAGTCAGTGTTGGACAGGTGCTCCTCAAGGTGATAAAAGTCCACCAAGTGAACACAAATACAGTCGTGACTCGATAACCCGACACTAAATGTAAAACCTTCTTCTATGTCGGATAGCAAGGCTGTCGGATTGTCAAGACGGAGGTCCAGATACGAGGAGGTCTTGATGCTGGAAGGCTCATTAGTTGTTAATTA